AAGGCTTTTGACAAAATTGGTTGTCATATAGTTCTTAAAAAACTTCACGAGTGGAAAGTGGGTCAAAATATTTTTAATTACATAAAGTCTTTTCTCAGCAATCGTAAGTTTCGATGTAAGGTAAACAACTATCTCTCGCCTACATTTCCGCTCCTCAACGGTATCCCACAAGGATCTCCACTTTCAGTCACTCTCTTCTTAATAGCGTTTGACGACGTTAGCAAAATCATGAGTCAACAGACAAATATTAAGCATTGCCTTTACGCCGATGACTTATTTTTAGTATGTGGTAATAAACATGTTTCCGAAATTGAGGAATCGTTTGGAAAAGCTTTCCGGGCTTTAGAAAAATGGTCTCCACATTCAGGTGCTCTCGTTTCATTCGGAAAATGCAAGCATCTGCATGTTTGTAGAAAACGTAGTGGTAATCAGATAGACATTAAGTACAACAATCATAAAATATCCAATGTCAAATCTAAGAAAATATTGGGCGTTATATTTGACGACAAACATAGTTTTAAGGAACATTGTATTAGTTTAAGAGGTGAAATAGCTACCAGATTACATATTATACAATATTTATCGTCGAAGAAAAGTTGTATACATACTAACACCCTACTTAATAATACAAAGCAAAATTGACTATGGTATTCAGTTATATGGAAAATGCAATACGACTACGTTAAATAAAATTAAAGCACCGTCTCACGCAGCGATACGACGAAGTTTACGTGCGTTCAGAACAACACCTATCACAAATTTACTGGCAGAAAGTGGCTTTCAATCATTGGAAGATCGTATAAAAAACCTTCGAAGTCGTATCATTTATAAGTTCTGCAACTCTACAAACATTCTTAACCATGAAGTCAAGCTATTGATGAGAAGAAAAAGGGCACTCTCACACAAATCAGCACTATGTGAGATAAAAGCTCTCGCTGACCTCTTAAACCTGGAGATGGTCCCCGTGAAAATCCCCAACCCCAAACTTCCTCCATGGATCATAGACAAAAGTAGTTTCATTGATGAGTTGACGTTTCTTCGGAAGGAGAACACTAGCAACGCTTCATACCAACAATCATTTTTGAACATAGTTACGCTTCTTATGCAAAGTGGGTGGAATCTAATCTTTGCAGATGGGACCAAACAGAACAACGGAGTTGCATTCGCTATTACAAATGATACCGGTTTAACTCTATCCCTCGGCTTGCTACCACAGTACGCCAGCATTTTTGAAGCTGAGGTATCATTTCGGCCCTGCATTTAGTAAAAGAAGGGAACAAAAAAGTCATTATTTGCACTGACAGCCAATCAGTTTTCGGAGCTGCAAGAAACATTCACTATATATATAATAGGTCCAATATAACATCTTCAACAACTGCCCATTAAATTAGCACCAAATACAAAGCTAATGTGGATCCCTGGACATGCAGGTATAGCTGGTAACGAGTATGCTGACAAAGCTGCGAAGTTTGCTTTACATTTTTGCCTACACACCTTCTATCCGTTTGGCACTTCATCAATTAAAACGATGTACTCTACTGCTTTGAAGTCTCACCTTCACCTGAACTGGAAACAGTATCAACATGAATATAAAGAGGTGCATCCTAGTGGCATGTCAGTAACACTACCTACTACGACAACAACATGGATGAATAGATGTTACGTTCGCCTAAGACTAGGACATGCTCTCCTCACACACTAACACCTTCTTACAAGAAGTTCTCAGCCCACATGCTCCTTCTGCAACACTGCCAACTTAACCACACGTCACATTCTACTGCATTGCTCAGGTATTGCCGCTATACGCACAAAAGCGTTCGAAGACGCACACCCGCTCAATGTCCTCTCCCTCCCATCTGCATCAAATATCATATTAATGTCTAACTTTCTTAAGTCTTTAAACATCTTTCATCTAATATAAATACACATTACGTTTATATATATTATCCCTTGACTAAGCCGATAGCCATGGTAGCTAGTGCTATTATATTAATTTTGTAATTTTAATTATATTAATTAATAAATAATAATAATAATTTCAATTGTATAAATAACTAGTGTGCATATGTGACAGTATATGATTTTTGTGAAATTCCAGCTTCACAGTGATTTTGCCGGTTACCAGTTAGCAGTACCAAAGTTGATGTGGCTTTTGCACCATTGATAAGTAATAATTTTTGTATAACTAGTTCTATAATATATGATTTGACTGATATTCCTTTCTACATTTGAAAATATATGCATATTTTTAACTTTTTCAGGTACTTAATAAAAAAAGCGAAAGTTGATAATGGAGGCGGACCTGAAGTCTCAATTAAGCAAACCAATGGGGATTGGGGAACTGAAGTCTAAAGTAATGAAAGCACTGGGTATGTTTTATATTAAATTTTAACTCTAAAAATTCTAAATGCTCAAAATAATATAAATTTCAGTGAAGAGACGATGCAAAATGACAAACGAAAGTTTCGAAAAGAGTGGATTACTAACTTTTCCTGGCTTCAAGAACGAGACGGCAAAGCGTTTGTTAGAGCATGCGAAAATACTCTAATGAATCACGCTTCACACTTGAAACTGCACCAAGAAAAAGCTGTCCACAAGAAAAACGTTGACGTAAAAAGTAAGCAGGTTAAAATTGATAATTTTGCTTCCTCAAGCCAAAGCACTTATTGTCTAATGAAACAAATTCGCGATGAGGAATATACGTTAGTAATGTTTTGAATAAACCACAACCTTCCGTTTCTTCTCATGGATTTTTTTTCCAACATTGTTATACACTTGCTGTCCTGATTCCAAACTTGCTAAAGAATTGAAATGTGCGCGAACCAAGTCAACGCATATAACAGCAACTCTTGCGGAAAAGTCTAAAGAAAAAATTCTACCATTTAAGGACAAGCAAAGTTCCCTTATAGTTGACGAGACCACTGACTTATGGTCTGATTATGCACACTTCGCATAACTTCGCACAACTTCGCATAAACTTCAAATTGTAATTTAGTATGTACTTTGCACGTACTTTGTTTGTATTCCATTATCCAGAAATTAGCAGAACTTTTAAAAACTTAGCAATCTGTTGAGTTTAGATTTTGCTTCACATTTTCTTAAGTTACATTTTTATTTCACTGGTACAAATGGTTGTGCGAAGTTATGCGAAGTATGCATAATCAGACCCTTAACCACAAGGAAAGCTTTAGTGCTGGTCGTACGATACTTTGACACATCTGCAAATGAAATTCGCGATAGATTTCTTGCACTAATCGAGTTGTTTCAAAGTGATGCTCAGTCAATTTATGAATCTATAAAAAACTTTTTTTCTGCAAATCGTATCCCTATGGAAAATTTAATTGGGCTGGCCACTGATGTAGCTAGTATTATGACAAGAGACTTTAATGTGTTCAAGACAAAATTTAAAAATTCAAAGATATTATATCAGAAATGTAAATGTCACAGTTTACATTTATGCTTACGGTGACCATCCGTATTGTATTATACGGCGCAGTCCTCTTTTTGGACCACTTGTCCTGGCAAATAATTTATTTTATACGGGACGCCAAATGTTCTGTATTTCTTTTAATGTCCTGTATTTGTCGCGTTTTCGGGGTTCGGTTTTTCGAGGCCTTAAAAGCTCATTAAAATGGCATGCTTATGAACCAGTCTGAATGCGTGTGCTTCGAATCGAGGAACACATACAGTGACCAAAATATATATTAGGATTCTATATTTTAGCAAGGTTTTTCTTTTGTTTATTTAATGTTTATTATTTTTTTTTTTAAGAAGATCTCTTTTCCTAACAAAAACCATATATGTAATTCGAAATTTCCGACTTGCTGCAAAAACTATAAGAATTAATTCTGCAAATGTTCACCAAAATTACAAACTTTTTAATCACTTGTAGCTCATTAAAATTTAGTATAATAAAGTGAAAGTGCAACGTGCTGCTCATTTGCTTCCCTATCAACAAGTTGTCAAAAATATTGATTTTGTATAAAAAAATGCGTAGCACCGTCGACAAAAAAAATTGCCAAAAATTAACGGTAAGTCCTAGCTACTTAAAACTTGCACTTTATCGTATTAAAATGTATCTTTTTTTTTTTGTAAAAAAATTTTGTAGGGTAAAAATCTCGAGAAAGATATCCTAAAAATTTGTGATGTTACTATAAGGATGCTGTTTCAGGGCTAATAAGGTCTGCTAGCTTTTATGCAAAAAATTAGAAAAATTATTTTTTGTCCCATATTCGGCTCGCAAAAATATGGTCACCGTATTTATGCTCCAGTTATGCTTGCAAAACTTTGCCTGCAACTTTGCGAACTTAAAGAATTCCAGGAATATTGTGGTGTAAAGCCACATAAACTTTTAGGTATTGCATCAACCAGGTGGCTTTCTTTAGAAAGTGTCATCGGGCGAATTGTTGAGCAGTGGGCTCCTTTACGGCTTTATTTTACAAATTGTGTTCTTGAGGTAAATGGAATAAAACTATACGACTAATTCGTATAACATAATGATGAATTCTTAAATTAAAGTATATTTGCTTTTCTTATCATATATCCTGAAAATAACAAATGATTTGAATAAGGAGTTTCAATCCGAAAAAATCCGATTGCCATATTTACATTCCCGATTCGAAACACATTTCAAATTATTTTTGTCGCATTATATTAAAGATAACGTTTTAAAAAATCTTAGTACCCTACAAAACTTTGACGTTTGTGATGAACACAATTTTATGCCCACTAAAGACGTTTTCATTGGAAGTAAAGCGGAAGCATTCCTGGCATCAGACTTATTTTATGACTCACAAAGAATCGCTCTTAAAACAAACATCCGTAATTTTATTTTAGAACTTTTGAGGCATGCGAAAACGGTTCGATTTTAGAAGAGACGACCTGAAGTGCCTTTCAATAATTATACCAAACCAAGCGTTATCAGAAAAACCAATTTTTCCAGTTATTAACAATTTTTCATATTTAGTTCCATGTGATGTAGACATACTTACGACACAATGGAAATTGTTACGCTTCCAAAGCAAAAGTCTTAATTCCAAGCTTCCCATAACAGAGTTTTGGGAAACGGTAAAGAGTTTAAAAAATGGATTAGGAGACAGTTGCTTTAAAGAGCTAAGTGATTTTGTTTTCCATTTGATGTCTCTTATAAAAACCAAATTAAGAAATCGATTCGAATTTTCAACGTTGAATGATATAATGCTTTGCAAGGAGAAACACAGGCGGCTCTAACTATGTTTGGTCATCTAAAGACTCATTTTAATGCTGTACTATTTTTAATTTGTTTCCATGTTTTTTAACGAAGACGTCCCTTGAAAACCAAGACTACTGAATTTTTGTTGATCTCATTAAACATATATGTACATATAAATGTAGTATAAAAATATGTACATAAATACATAAGTATGTAAGTGTAGTATAAAAGTACTTCATAATATTCTGAATTTGTGTGAAGTATAAACGCTGTGATTTTTATAATTCCTATTTTTAATGTAACATGTGCATATAAAAAACTTATAAAAACTAAATATGTGATTGAGCGCACTAGTTAGATGCAATATGACTTTGTATTTCAATAATAATTTTTTTTTTGTAATAAGTTTTGCTGTTTCTGTGTACATACCAGGGTTGTTGCGAATGTAATTCCGAAATAAAAGTCCTTTCCGGATAATAAACAAACCGTCTGTCGAAATGAAACAAATTTGGTATCATATGAAAGAGGAATGAAATAGATTTTAAACAGAATTAACGAACGATCTTAATTTTTATTTTTTTTTTTATAATTTAATACTAAAGAAATGCATATACCTGACACAAGCTTTGTTCTATGGGACTTGATTAACATTTTTTAATGAAATATTTTTAAATATATGGCTTTCCTCGTTCAGTTATAAAGATATTAAAGTCCTCTTTAATATGGTACCAAACTTGTTTAATTTGGATAAGCGGTTTGTTTATTATCTGGAAAGGACTTTTATTTCGGAATAATATTCGGAACAACATACATAAATATTTGTTGACATTTTGTTTTGCTGATACATGCATATTTGATGATGGTTTTTTCCTGTGCGCATTTAAATAAAGTTTTATAAATATTAATAATAAAAAATGAAGCGATCGCGAAATCTTTGGACCGCAGATGCAGAGGAGGTATTTGTAATGTTGTGGCAACAAAAAGTGGATGACTTGGGGGGGGCCCAGAAAAAACAGCCATGTCTATCAGGAGATGGCGGCAGAAATGCAGATGCAAGGATATGATGTCAATTCCACATCTGTAAAAATTAAGATTGACAATTTGACGGCGAAATATAGGTAACTATAGTCATTCCAAAGTTATAAAAAATATGTATTCCTTTAATGTTTTTTCCATAGGAAGGCCACGGCAGGTATGGGGACGACTCACAGTGTTTCGACTATATGGAGGCAGGTGGAAATAATAGTACACCTGCACCGATTTCACTGAAACTTGACATGTGTTCTAGTTTTACTTAGAAATAGTGAATTATGAAATTTTGTAAAGATGGAATGATTGCCACGCCCTCTACTCTTGCGAGCGGAAAGATAAAATTTCATCCAATTTCGATGAAATTTAGTTTGTAGTCCTTATTTTATTAGAAAAACCTAAATATAAAGTATGGAGAAGATTAGATCACCATAACGTCCAAAACTCACAAAAAATGTGGGCCCAGTCATTAAATATGATGGAATTTTGGTTAATTTTTGTTTCCTGCTTTCCACTCTCAGAAAACAAAGGTTATACTATAAAATGACTTATACTAGGTTCATATATAAGTAGATTATCCTCATTTTCGAGCTTAACACCCTAATCTGTAATTAAAACGAAAGATTAGCGATATAAAATTCGGCCCTTGTTAATCTGTAATTATAAAATAATCTCAGATTTAACCGATAACTTTTCGGTGTCCATCCTAGTTTTATCGATTGTTTTTGCGAAAGAGAAGAGAAATGCCAAATGTAAAAGTAAACAAAAATGTACGCTAGCAAGTAAAAGAGGTTTGTAAAGGTATTTTTAATAAAATGTTAAGTTAAAATATATTTATATTGCTTATTATAGCAGAAAAACGTGATCACGGTGGCACAGAGAAGAAACATAAACTTTCTTTGAGATGTGAGAATAACAAGCACAACAAATTTGACGGCTAATAATCTGAGATTTGCCTGTGTAAACGGGGTGATTAAAAAACGAGCTTTGTTTGAGATAATATTGATATGTGAACATAGTTTTAGGTGTAAATACTCGCTCTTTTCCCAATGTTTGGTGAGATTTTTTCATTATTCGCAAAATTCCTTTCGCGAAATTATGCAAAAAGAAGCTGGAAATCTAAAATTAAGAAAATCAAAAATTACATATATTTGCAAAGTAGGGCGCAAAGATCAAATTATATATTCGAAAACTACATAAAATTCTCTAAAACATTCGTCTAATTTCAAGACCTGACGGACCGGTATTCACACTTTTACTAATCATTTTTAGCGTCTACATTTCAAATAAAATTTTTTGGCAAGAAAATATAAAGTACCAAATAAACGATAAATACCTTCACCCGAATATTCCACGACATTTAAGTAATTGATTACAGTTTAAAAAGAAACACTTTCTTTGGTTAATCGCCAAAGGCAACTAAACTGATTAGTCGGTATCGCGCCATCACCGTCGTGTTCATCACCACTGCCGTCAGGATCCAGAGGGGAAATACTTCGCCCATCAATATCAAGCGCAGCAATATCTACCAGATCTGGAAAACAAAAAAAGATGGATCGATTAGTGACGATTTGTGAGGGTATCCAAAGCAATTTTTCGGAGGCTATGGAAAAATTTACAAAATCGAACGATGAATTGGTCGAAATAGAAAAGGCAAAGCTAGTCGCAATGCAAGAACAGCAGAGGGATGCAAGAAGGCTGACGGACGGAATACTTGATTTCTTAAATAGATTTTAAGGAAATAGTATGTAGTAATTAGACTGAATTATTTTGTTTATATTTTTGAAGTAGATTTTAAGGGAATAGTATATAAGGTTTTGAGAATTGCACTGAATTATTTTGTTTACATTTTTGAAGTAGATTTAAAGTATATAGATTTTAAGGAAATAGTAAGTAAGGTTTTGAGAATTGGACTGAATTATTTTGTTTACATTTTTGAAGTACATTTTGGATTTGCAATAGTGATACCATTTTTCCAGAGTACCCTTTTCCGTTTTTAAAGCTAAAAGTTCAAGCGTCAAGATAAAAAGACATGAACTGAAATAAACGTGATATTAACTTACTGAAATATGAACAGAACGCATTTCTTATTGATTCAGCTTCTGCTAAGTTTTGGTGCGAGTCTACGGATTGTGGTTGTCTTCTCCTAATATCATTAGCGTGCTGCTCGTTAAGCCAAGAAGGTGTAACTGGGTCATTTTCTGCTATTAAAAAGTTGTGCAAAGCACAATAAGCCTTTATAATAGAATTTTCATTATCAACTCTGTTATCAATTCCTTTTCCGATCCGGCGAAACCTAAATTTGTATACATATATGTTAAAATAATAAGTGTATTTAACGACCACTTCTATATTCACTTAATTACTTTGCTTCCAATTGCCCAAAAGCATTTTCGACCACGTTACGAGATTTTGAAAGTTGGTAATTGAAAGCTTTTTGGGAAGGCGTTTTATCCAAACTGAATGGAAAAGGCTTCATTAAATATTTGGAAAAACGAAAGGCAGAATCTCCAAGAAGGACAACTGGGATGTCAAAATTTCCTAAATTTGTGCTCATTGTGTTCAGAAATGAGCAGTTCTCCAGTTCCCTTTTTAGTCTGGACTTTTCAAAGACTTGGGAATCATTACATCTTCCTGGACTTCCCACGTTGATGTATAAAAAACGATATCTTTAAAAGAAAAGAAAAAGTTATGTGCTATATAATTTACATTCGGATGAATATGCATATATGCAAAATAGAATATCTAAAAAATTTCATGCTGGGTACCTTACGTCAACAAGTGCTAGTAACGCTGTGGAATACCATCCTTTATAATTGATATAATCGACTGCTTCTTCCTGTCTGGGATGAATTTCTATGTGGCATCCATCTGAAAAATATATTCGCTACTTAGTTGGGTAAAAGTAATAATTTTAAGGGCTTACCAAGAGCACCCATACACTGAGGGAATCCAATGTGTTTAAACCCATTAACACAGTCTTCAATTGTTTCTCTACTTAGGGGAAAGTGGTTAAAATACATTGGGTGTAACTTTTTCCACACTTGCCTACAAAATTCCAAGAGAGCTGCGCATACTGTTGATTTGGCCACTCCAAACAAGTTCGCAATGCTACGATATTCCGCTGAGGGTCCAAGAGCATATAGGGCGATGGCAACTCGTTTCTCCAAGCAGATGGTATTATGGAATCTTGTTTCCTTTCTCATTAGGTGATCCAGAAAACTGCATAATTTTTTAAAAGCACTTCTATTCAGTCTAAAATTTTGTCTGAAGTTATTATCTCCAGAGCATTGGCACTCGACTTCCCAAAACGTACCTCCTGGATTCTGTTAAACGTTGGATATATAGGTATACGTATATACATACATACATACATAGGTGATTATAATTTTGTTTTCCTAACTAAATTTAATTCCAAGCATTTTGCTTTAATTTCAATGTAAACAATAAACAGATGATTTCGAACGTGGGTAAATGTACATTTATTAAATGCGTAAGCATGCACGCTCTTCGAAAACATATGTTCGAAAGAGCTAAATTTTGCATTTTTAATTCAGCAAAAACGCTGCATTAGACTGCATCACTCCCCATAAAAAAAATCTGTACTGTTTTTCCATAAGAATTATAAAATCCGATTTGAAAATACCTCCAAAAATTGAGTTTCTTATGAATAAAAATAGTTTCTTAAAGATGTTTTTTGAAAAAATCATATCAAATGACAAAACGGGTTAAACTTAAAAATTTACATAGAAAAAAAAAAAAAAAAAAAAAATAAAAATTTGATTGAAATCGTAATAATGAGGTTTTTGATGCTGTTTTTGAACTTTTTTCAAAGATTGGTATACGAAAAACTTGAATAACTGAACCTAAACTCTACCACTTTAGACTTGTGAGGTATCATTAGAAAGTTATTCTCTCACCCTTTTTATTTCTTTGCTAATAAGCTTATCCAAAGGATGAAAGAGAAACGATGAAGGCACATCATTCAAAGTTGAATTCAGTTGCCATGGTATTTATAAAAAAATTAGGACATTAATGACTTCTTTTTTGCACATAAATAAAAATAGTGGGAAAATACCTTTCTACCGATATACCATAAGTCTAAATCAGAATAGTTTTGGCCCAGTTACTTAAGTTTTTCGTAAATCACTCTTTGAAAAATTATTTTCAACAATTTTTTATTGAGCTTGAGGCCGTTTTTTAATAAAAACTATTGTGGAAAAGCAACAATATAAATTTTGTAATCCCGGCGGTGATGCAGTCTAATGTACATATGTATGTACACACATACATATGTGACCGCGCACTTCCTATGCTGAAGGGTTTTACAAAAACAGAAGTGTAGAAGTGTTATGGCCTGCTTACCTAAATGAAGTGTGATATGTTTCTTTTTTTTATCACGCTTTGTTGTCTTGTTTTTGGCTTAGCATCTACGATTTTGCCTGTTCCAAGATATATGTACATATATTATGTATTTCTGTATGTATTTACAAAAAAAAGCACAGTTTCAAAATATGAGTTTTTATTAATTACGTGTATATACTTATAATAAAAAACAATCCACTTTTAATTTAATAAAAAAAAAACAAGGCACATATTCGTTTACATATCTGTGTTCGTATGGAACAGTAGCTTCCCTGCAGTAAAATTTAGAGACAGTCTGTTAAAGCTCTAGTTCTGCCCTACACATTTCAGAACTATCTCTGAACTAGTGCAAAACGGCTGCAGAGAGGGACAGCTGAAACTTTCGGTGGTTAGGTGCGCACTGTTGAGAAGTAAATGCACAAATTCTCACTTTTCGTACAATATGAAAATAGCTCAGCGGTAAGACCTCCGACTCTGACATCGTTGGTCCCGAGCTCAAAATTTGGTTTCCAGGTTTTTTGGCACCTGGAACGCTTTCCTGCAAAAAAAAAACCTGAAAATCGTGATTATCGTGAGCATCTGGAACGCAACTAATAAAAAATTACGCTTTTAGAAATAATGCTAACAAGTTTTGTTCTCTTTGAACCAATGCATGATTCAATAACTACAGGTTGTAGCAATCGTAAAAAAACAACATTTACCGTTGGTATGAACTCCTTGTGTCATCAACAGCTTCTTTATCTATTCATATTCGTATGTATATGTATACCCCGCATACCAGGATTTCACAGTATTCTGAAGGGTTTCACAATTTTTTAAAGAATTTTCTTTAGGAAATCGTACAGAAATTTCTTTAATAGTTCTTGTCAACCACTTCATATCTTTTTCTTTAATCATTCCTAAAAGAATCGTAACAAATTTCCGATATTCTTAAAGATTTCGTGAGCATTTGTTTGCAGGTATATATTTACGTATATGAGTATGTATATGCGGATATGTAAACAAAGCAAAACAGGCGACAATTTAACGCAAGCGTGCTCATAAGAAGAAGCATGGCTTCTATCGCTATCACCTGTAGTTGATACGCCTTGGAACCAATGCAAATGTCAAAAGCGTTAGGAAAGGGAATGAGCTATCAATGAAAGGATAGTGGCGATAGTACTAAAATTATCGATAGTTATTTCAAGTGACCAGACTATCGATAGTATCGTCGATAGTTTGACAGCTCTAACAAGTAAGAGCAGCGCTGTTTTCGGCTATGCCGAAGGCTTCATACCCAACATGAACATCTAAAAATTTTACTTTAACAGATTACTGCTTTTGAAAAATTTATATATTCACAGCATACATCGAGAGAGTAGTTACATATATTAAAAAATCGTATCTAAACAATCAAAGGTATGGAAGATATACATTATATAGCACCAATCTAAGTGATTTTCTCTGCTATGTAATCGGTATGTGAACTGGTAACACAATTTAATGAGTTAAGCTTCCTACATAAAGGAAATATATCGCAAAAACTGGTATCTGAACAATCAGTGGTATAGGGGATAAAGCTTATACAGCATAGATTTTGACGATTTTCTCAGTAGACTTTGTATTATTATTTATGAAATATCTTACGAAGTTTATCGGTTTTAGCTGTCCAAATAAAGGAGTTTTACAGTAAAACCCCATATCTGAACAATCAGTTTTATGGAGGCTATAGGTTATAGCGACCAAATCTTCACCATAATGGGTGGAAATAGTGCGAAATTTCATGTTCCCAGCTGCATAAAGGGAGGAGTTATAACGAAAATTTTTATATCTGAACAATCAGTTGTATGGGAGATATATGTTATAGTGACCCGATCCTTTGTATTTTCACTGTAAGTATTTTGTTAATAAAGAGTGAAAACCCAGCTGCATAAAAGGAGGAGCTATGATAAAAGACCTCATATCTGAACAATCAGTTGTATGGGGGCTACAGGTTATAGTGACCCGATCTTTGTTATTTTCACTGTATGTATTCTGTTGATAATGAGTGAAAACAGTGCGAAATTTCATGTTCCTAGTTACATAAATGGAAGAGTTATAACGAAAAATCTTATATCTGAACAATCAGTTGTATGGGAGCTATAGGTTATAGGTCTACGATCTTTGTAATTTTCACTGCAAGTATTCTGCTGATAGTGGGGGCAAGTATTGCAAAATTATGCAATATAAAAATACACCCACTTACCAAATTTCAACCGGAAACCTCGGCAACTGAGAGACTAGATTGGATGCAAACAGACGGACAGACAGACAGACGGACATGGCTAAATCGACTCAGCTCGACTTTCTTATCATATAAGTATACATTTAAGTTGGTCTATCTCTTTTTATTCTGGTACTTACAAAGTTCGGAACAAAGTTATAATACCATTTCATGCCCATGAAAGGTATAAAACCCTATCTTACGGCACTCAAATTTTACAGGAGAGCGAAAAAACGGTTTTTCTTTGAAGGCATTGCCTTGATAAGCGGCATTTTATCTAACTATTATTTTAAAGATCTGTTGTTTTAATAACTATTTTACGATTTTTTTATGCATAAATCTCGATACCTACACCCCTATTGCGAGTGTCGACTAGTAGTAGATAAACGACTATTTGTCGATTATCGATTACACAGGCCGATTGTAATATCTCAGCGAAGCAAAAAGATATTTGAGCAAACTCAACGCCATTTCAAAGAGAAAGACTTGTACTTTAGCACCTTTTTTGTATTTTTTTGAGAAAAATTATTCTGGCTTGCATACACTACTTCAAAAATGGGCAAAAAAGGAATTTTTTGCACTTATAGGTTAGAATATCTCAAAATCCTGATGCGATAGAGCAATTCCGTGGCCAAATTTGAATTCAGCGCACCGACAACCTTCGGGTAAGTATAGTCTGGTTTCTGGGTAAGGAGATCGGTCTTATTTTGTCGGCCTATGTTATCCACGCTTTTTGAATGTCGTTTTCTCGTTCAATAGGTGAGTGTGAATTAAAGTCCGACCGATTAATCGGCATCGGCCATTTTTGGCCGATTGTTTTTAGTTTTTCCGCAATTTTAACAAATGTTCATCAAAACTTGAAACTGTTTAATCAGATTTTTTAGAATTTTTTAGAGTACGCAGTTTCTCAAACTTTAGTATAATAAAGTGCAAGTTTGAAGTAGCTAGGTAAGTGTTGATTTATGAAAATTTTTTGTTCGCGCATCACCTTCCACAAAAAAATTTACAAAACTCAACAGTATGTCTTAGTTACCTAAAATTTGCTCTTCATTAAAATAAAATTGAATGGGCTACAAAACAGCATACTCAGAATGTTTAAAGTAAGAGTTTGAAGTTTTTACTAGCATGGTTTTTGTTATATAACAAGCTACACTTTCATAATGAAATAAGACACATTAAATAAACGAAAGGGAAATAGCCAAAGAATACTAAAATGTCGTTACTATAAGTGTTGTTACGATTATCCTTGAATTAATCCTTGAATTCCTAAATCCTTGGGGTTCTTTTCACTGGATTGTTAAATTGTTTACGAATACTTTTATCATTCAAAATCTACGGTTACTGTTTATTAACAAATTGTATTCAATACAACACCTTTATATTCAGCAGAAGCTGTATATTTTTACTACTATGAGTACAACTAAGAAATGTGATTTCGAATGAACTATTTTTTTTAACATTGAATAAGAAAAAGACTATGGAACGAAGTATTGCAATGATATGTATGCATAGGCTTCTGTTGAAGAGCGAGCTCACCAGGATATTTGGCAACGCCTTGACGAAACGGCTCTGATACTGTTTCCAGTTTTTGAAGTGATGTGGATAACCAGACGATGCATATAGGAGTATTTATGCATAAAACCCGGTCAAAAGTCAGATTTACCAATTGTTGCAAAAGTCCAGTAAAATATATTATTCCTAAAGCTCAATAACTGATCTATTGAATGGTATCCATGAAAACTCCCTCCGCTGCTTTCCCTTCAACTTCACCTTCAACATGAAAACAGTCAATGTTGTGAAAGTTTTTTTTTCTCCATGCTTTCAGTCGTTCTATTTGTTTCTTCGGTAGAGCTGTAGCATACCGTATGTATTCGTTACTGAGTAACGAATACAACCCCTCACTCG